TACAAATTAAAACAACACTGAGATTCCATTTCACCCCAGAAAGAATGGCTATTTCAAGAAATCAACCAATAACACATGCTTCAGGAATGTGAGGGAAAAGGAACACTTTTCCACTGTTGATCAGAGTTTAGACTGGTGCAACCACTGTGAAAATCAGTCTGAAGATTCCTCAGTAAACTAGAATTAGAGGTCCCATTCAACCCAGGTATTTTCCTTCTGGGTATTTTTCCAGAAGAGCTGAAGATATCATACTACACCAATATATGTGCACCCATGTTTACAGGAGTGCAATTTATAATAGTTAAATTGTGGAAACAACCCAAATGCCCATCAGTGGAGGAATGGATAACAGAGATGTGATATTTTTATACAATGGAGTATTTCTCAGCTATAAAGAAAGATAAACTCAAGGCTTGGATGCAACTAGAGTCTATACTCATAAGTGAAATAAATCAGACTCACATGTGTAAACATCATATTGTCTCCCTAGTGTAAGAACCTGAAAAAGTAAATAAAATCTGAAAGGCACAATAGATGTCATGAAAGGGAAAGAAATTGCTCTAAAGGAAAAGGCAGCTAGGGTAAGGGAAAAGAAAAAGAGAGAAAGAAAGGACTGAAAGAGTATATATATATATATACATACAGAAGATAGTAAAAGTAATTATATTACTAAGTTCTATTGATTAATTGAAAGGATCAGTTAATGTTTAATTGTTTGATCAATCTTACATGCCTAGATCTGGTTATCTGAGTAATCACTTTGAAGATAATAATACGCAATTTCAACAACCATTGTTAATTTCCTATCACCTTGTTTTGAAATTCTTTATCATTTTTATTGTTTTTATGCTGTTTTGTTTATGTCTTTGTTTTTGTTATTTTGTTTTTGTTCTTTTTTCTTTAAAATAAAAAATGGTATTAGCATTTTTATATTTGTCATAAACATATTTTTCATTTTATAATTTGCTAAATTTAAGCTACCACAAGTTCAGTAAAGAAAGTACAACAGGGAGAGCAGAAAACAAACACATATACAAATGAATACAGTGACATTTTCAAGTTCATTATGATATGAATATAAGCACTCAATTTTTTGCCAAGTGTAGACAAACTAACTTAAAGGAAAACTGTCAGAATCTGCTAGGAAGATGGATATGAAAGAACAAAATGACTTCGGGAAAAATAAGGCTCTGGGATTGTGGGGAAGAAAACCAGTGTCAAGAAAACCCCAGGCTGGACTCGTGTGTACCAGTGTATTTAACCATTTGCCTGATGGTCCCTGAGGATATATCCAGGCTTAGTTGTTAGGCCACGTGGTGGTGTCGTAGCCTTCTAGAGATGTTTCTATTGTCTTTTGAGCTTTGTGCTCCCACTCTGATAGCTACAAGGCAAACATCATAGCCAGCATTGACCATTTTAGTTCAGAGAGAAAAAGATGCAAACATTCCCAGAAATAAAAAAAAAAAATAGTCTCTAGCACAGAATAGAGTGCTTGACTACAGGAAAAATTGCATAGTTTCCTGGAATCCAAGACAGTGGCTTTTAGAGCTCACTTGGGCTTTGTAACCATGGTTTTCCAAGGCTGAAGTGTGTAAAAATAGAACACTTATTTAAAAAAATTAAACCTGACAAATAAGCCACTGTTGTTGTGTTTTTTTGTTTTTTTTTTTTCGCAGTGAAACTGCCTTAAGTCTCCCAGAACACGATCCCATGTGATCTGGTGAATGTTCCCCATATGTAATGAGGTCCCCTGGCACAGGCCATCTGCTTCCTCCTAGTCCCAGGCTGACTCCTAAGATGCTCAGTGAATAGCACCCAGAAACCCTGGAAGCTGCTCTGTAGAAAGACTTTTTGATATCAAAATCTCTTCCATTAGTGAGAGGAAATACTTAGTATCAAAATCCCCATGTATGTTGTCATCTCCCTCCTTCCACGTCTTGGTCCTATAGCAAGTAGAATGACCACATGCAGATGACTTCTCTTCATGACCTGAGTTTGTGAATACTTGTGATCCATGGGCCACATCTCTACCTCCTACCTCCACTTTTCTATTGGGCCACGAATTCACAAGGAGAAAAGTAAGTGAGATTTGGGGAAAGTTTTCAGTGGTAAATAGAAGGTCTTGAAGAGTCAAATACTTGTATGTGTTTTATTGTGCTTAAAGGTTCAACTTATATTAAACTGGAAAGAATCTTCACATTTGAATATTTGTTTTTCTGTTTCTTTTATTTATTACTTTCAAAGATCTGCTCTCCTGCTAATTTCAGTAAATCATGGCTTTCCAGGATTAAACAGTGTCTTGACTAATATGATAATAAACAATGTGACCCCGCTACTTAACAGCTAGGCTTCTTTGTCTGTATTCTTGTCTTCAGACAATTCATGGTCCACAGAGACACAGTTTATAAAGCTTCATAAAGCATGTTTACAGCTACTTACTGTGCTCCACACATCAGGGTCAAACAACTTTCCCTATCAAGAAGTGGTCTCTGACATCTAATGTAAAATTTATTGTTTTGCAACCCCATCTGATTTCCTTTCATATCATGCTCAGAGCTGTTGAAACATAACTGTATACCAATTCTTTATAAATACCTTTTGTAGATTTCCTCTATGAAAAATGATATATTTCTGAAAAATAGATAAATTAAACATAATTTTAAAAGCACAAAAGCAGCTTATTTTTGAAATGTACCCAATAATAAATCATTTTGTAATGTGCCTCATTTGCTTTGCTTTCAGCAAAATTCACTTCTAAAGCAATTCCATCATTCTATTACTGAATTTAATTTTTTTACAGGTAACCTGTTATATAATTACATGCTGCTTAGTAATAGGGTAAAGGCTGCAGGAAAAGTTGTACTACTAGCATATTTTCCAATTATATGTTAATAGCGTTATGCTTTCTTCCGGTGTTATAATGTAATTCCAGTGTTAAAATGTAGCTCAATTATTTACTTGTTTGTTCCTGTCATAAGCATAGACATCTAAAAAAAACGAGGCAGATGTTAAAAACATTCATGCCTTCCATTCTTTGAAGAAAATTTCACTGCAGTGCTCCAATGTTCTGTTTGCTAATGGGCAATTTGTATAATGGAGCAGTAATTTGTAAGGCTTCTACCAATAGATAATTGTGTCCTTCCTTGCAGGAGCTACCATGTTGTCATAAAAAGTAGGAATGGTTCCTGTCTAGCTATAATGGGACAGCTCTTCAGAGAAGTTTTGTGTAGAGCAAGGAATAATCACAGGAATCCAAAGATATAGGTTTCAGTTTACTCCCTTGATACCTATGTGTCTGTGGTCCATTTGCTGAACAGGGTTGAGCTCAGTTTCTGCACCTGGTGAGAAACACTAATCTTGTCCTTCCTGTTCTGTTGGATGCTAATGAAATTAAATAATGTATGTGAATATGTTTGCCATTATAAATGCACTATAAAGTGCTGACAGTACAAAAGTAGGTCAATAAACAGCTCTGTATTACATACTTGCTCATATATGCTCAAGGAGATATTGATCTCAGAAAGAAAAGAAAAGGAAAAAAAACATTTTACAGAAAACACGCTTTTGGAAAGTGAGTAGTAGCTAAGGAAGAGAAATATAGGACAAAGTTAAGAAAAACAGCAGCATTAGAATTAAAAGACTGGAATGAAAAAGCAGTGTATAAGCCGTAGGAACAAGACTCCATACTAGCAAGTAGCACGTTCCATGCAAATCTTAGAAGCTCAGAAATTAGCAGGTAAATATGGTGCCTGCGATTCTGTATGATACCACTGAACATTAATGTATTCAATATTTTTGAAACTATAACAGAAGTGTTATACTTAGCAGCATAAAGTTTTCTATCAACAATTCTGTGATGGTATCACTACATCCATACACAGATGAGGACACTGGTCTTAGAAATATTCAACCTTTGCCCCCAATGAGGTAGCATATGATGGAAAAAGGAGTTTACTGCATTTGACTTGAAAGTCATGTACTTTCTTTCTGAGAAAAGAACATTTCTCCATTCTCTACTTCTCAAAGAAATAAGTAAAAATGTGAACATAAACAAGCAGAAATCTGTGGTGAATTAACCACAAGAAGTATATGACAAAAATTACCCATATAGAGTCCCTATATACTTTTTTTCTTTCTTAGACACTATCCATGATTTGATGAAGAAAGAGAATCACACTTTGGTGAATGAGTTTGTCTTTCAGGGTTTCTCCAGCTTCCATGAGCACCAGTTCACCCTCTTTGCTGTGTTCCTTGCACTATACATATTAACCCTGGCAGGGAATGTCATCATCGTAACCATCATTGGCCTTGATCGTCATCTCCACACTCCCATGTACTTCTTCCTGAGCATGCTGTCAGCTTCAGAGACTGTATACACACTTGTCATTATCCCAAGGATGCTCTCTAATCTCATAGGCCTAAATCAGGCCATTTCTTTAGCAGGCTGTGCCACTCAGATGTTCTTCTTCATTACTCTGGCCATCAACAATTGCTTTCTGCTCACAGCCATGGGGTATGATCGCTATGTGGCTATTTGCAATCCCTTGAGGTACTCAGTCATCATGAACAAGAGTAAGTGCATTCAGCTTGTGTGGGGGTCCTGCAGCACTGGTCTAACTGTAGCAGTGACACAGGTGTCTGCCGTGTTCAGACTGCCCTTTTGTGCCAGTGAAGTGGCCCACTTCTTCTGCGACATACGACCTGTGATGAACCTCTCCTGCATTGACACTACTGTCAATGAGATCTTGACTCTGATCATCAGTATTCTGGTGATCCTAATTCCTATGGGTTTGATTTTCATTTCCTATATCCTCATCATCTCCACTATCCTCAGGATTGCTTCTGCTGAGGGCCGGAAGAAGGCTTTTGCCACCTGTGCTTCCCATATCACAGTGGTTATTGTCCACTATGGCTGCGCCTCCATTGCCTACCTAAAGCCCAAGTCAGAGAACACCAAGGATGAGGATCAGCTGATCTCTGTGACCTACACTGTTATCACCCCGCTACTGAACCCTGTGGTGTATACCCTGAGGAACAAAGAGGTCAAAGATGCTCTGTACAGGGCTATTGGCAGAAAACTGTCTTGATGGGATGAGTCATTACAAATAGGGTCTTACAAGATTACTTAGATAGAGAAAAGTGGAGCTATACCATAGTCACTAAGACTCTGGAGTCAGTTAAGAAGTGATTTGGTGAGACAAGGCAGGAAAAAAGGGACTACAGATCCAGCGTTTGAAAAAAGGAGATGGTTCTGCAAAACACAAGCAAGACTGCCTCTCCCAAGACACCAAGCGTAAAGAACTCACTGGTGTTGGAAAGTGGTTGGACTGTGTGGGCAGCCTGGGACAGAATAGGGTCAGAACTGCAGACAGAATTAATGAGAGAAATGCTCCAGGGTGTGGTAAAACTTTAAATATATTCTATAGTACTTGTTTTTTGACATGGTTTTCCCTTTACCCATTCAGAGGTATGTAGATTTAAAACCTAACTGAAGTCATTCTTTTATGGACAATTCAAGTTCTTTTGCATCAGAGAAACCATAAATAAAATAGACTAGAAATAGCCATCTATAAAATTCAACAGCCCTTGAAGTCTGGATCTTGTTCCTATAAGTTTTAGGTTGGCCATATGGGAAAATGGATATCTACATTTTCAGGCTCATGTAAGAGAAATATTTTTGGAAAGTGATTAAAATCCCTTGGTGACCTAGTTAACAAAAGAAGTGGCATCAGTAATCATTCCAGCATTTACATTGTGAGAATATACAAAGGCTTTCAGTGATACTATATGTGAGAGTCTGAACCTAGGAAAATAAATTGTGATTTTTGGAGACACTTGCAGAATGCACAGAAGCTACTAATAAATAGGAGTGCAAGAGGGAAGTCTAGAGTAGGAACTAGTAGGGTGAGAGAACTGAGATGAAGTGGATAGGGAAGTAACCATCTGGTAACTCTGTGACTCAGTAAAAGAAGAAGATCAATTTTATCACATAAGGTCCTCTAGAATCCGAGTTAATATGTTGCCTCTCACTACTCACCTCCACTTCCAGTAACCCCCTTCCCTACAGGCTGTTTACCACCACACACCCCACAGTTCAACAGTACTTAGTGACTTGTAGTTTCCCTTTTCATACCACACTCACATGACCTGTTATAGCTTGCTGTCACCTAATGGACACCATTCATTGCCATCTTCAAGGCTTGCTCAGGCAGCCTCTCCTAGTCATTCTGAAATACCGAACAGAAGCATGTTTCCCTGTATGAGTCCTTTGATGAAACACCTAAGAAGAAATCACTCCCTCACACCATAAATTTCAAACTCAAACATCCGTATATGACTATAATATACACTCCCCTTGATGTCTTTAAAGATGATAGTGTGAAATGGGAAGTGAGTAATATCATAATTATGTGGGATCTTTACTAGAGGAACAGTTCCACCATCAATGTTTACAATGTTTCATCAAGTGATATGTTTTGTCCAGACCACAACTTCCTTTACGTTAACTTCAAAGGCTAGAATTACATTTGCCTATTGTGATTTTCCAAATAGCTCCTTAAAGTTCAGTCTTACACAGGTTAAATTATACATTTTTAGGAAGTTTATGTGAAATTCAAGAGAACCAAAAATCAAGTTAACCTGTATTTGACAATGATCACATTTACTTTTATTCAGTAAATAAAAATACCTTATTTATATTTTTCACAGTAACCTTAAAACTACTGTCTATCAAATCTTCTCAGTAATAGATAATCTATATCTGCAATCTTAGCTACTTTAAATGTTAGGTAGTAGTTTTTAAGAGATCAGCAAAATTCAGTGGAAAGAACATAAACACTGGAATAAAAAGACTCCATTTTGAGTTCTGAATCTAGTTCTTACTTACCATATATACTTGAATGAATTGTTTAATTTCTCTGAATCTCAATTTCCTCATCTTTAAAATTTATATGCAGTTTCTTGTTAAACACAGGAGGCAATAATGTAAAACTCCTTTGGAAATGATAATACAGGGACAAATCCTTTCTCTTTAGAGTAAGAAAGTACTTTTATAGCTATAAACTGCATCTTTCTTTATCTGCAAAATGGGATCATCTATCCCCGCTGTTTTCCCAATTGAACTGTTATACAAATCAACTACACTAGAATAAACACGGTGAGAAATGCTGCAATACCAACAGACGATGTTAGGAAATTCGATGTATTATTTTCATGTTTTTAGCTAAAATAATTCCTACATTCTTACCTCTCTAACTTTTTCTGGCTATTTTATATTATTTTTACTAATCACTCTCTCTTACCTTCCTCCCACACATGCCTAAGTCTTAATTATTATTCCATCTGTCATTGTTTTAAGGTCATGTATTTTTGGCCCCCTACAAAAAGAGTATTTCCAAAGTGTTGCTTTTCTGTCTAGTTTTCAGTTCCCGTAGTTAATACCTGGCCTTTTGTTCTACACCAATTTCCTTCATCAACTTCAGTGAATTTCAAACTCTTTCATAACCCTGGGTCCCCCAATATAAAAGAATGCTGTACCATAACCTGGGACATGTGTATGCCTCTGTGTGTGCATGTGTGTATACAAGTACATGCACATGAAAACAGAAACACAACACTCATGAAACAGTACTTAGCCTTATCTCATACAACCTAGTCTCTTGTTTTTCATTCCAGTTTACTCTGTTCTCTTCTATTTCATCTTATTTAATTAATGTTAATGAACAGGGGCATCTTTGTACATTTAGACTACTTAATGGCTCAGAGTTAAAATCTGCTTTCCACTCATATCAGTGCTGAAATCCAGTTATACAAGACTGTTATTTCTGGGTACTACAATAAAATTAAAATATTATTTTTAAAATTTGGGTTTTAATTAATAAACATTTCATAATCATACTTAAATATTTGAGATTTTAGAGGAGAGACATTTAGTCTTCATTATTAGCTTCTAGATTATTCCAGCAATCACAAAAACACATATTCATGACATTAGGTAGATATTCATTTTTCAAGTGAGAGATTGAGATTGGTGGGGAAGCAAAATATCGTGAGAGAAATACTCATTCTTCTTTAATATATTCTTCATATTTTTATTAGATGTAGATTAAAATAATTTATCCTAGATATTGTCCTATATATTTTCAGAGGTAAAATTAAAATCATATACTAAATCCACCCATATACGTTGTGAAGATTCATCACTTAAATGGAATTAAGTGATGTAAAATTAATGACAGTACTTTAAGGTTCTTTAACATTACCAATTTTAAATTTTATAAATATTTATTGACTTAAAGGGATATATTTTTCTAAAGCTATCCAATAACCACCCCATTCTCTCTTATATAACAGTCAGTTGTTTCCTATTTATAGAACTATTTAAAACTCTTATATTTTTCCAGAAAACTAACAAACTAATAATTAACTTGTTATTCTTAAAATTTGCTCACAGTAATAAATTAAATGACAGAATTCCAATATATAAAGCATATAAAGCTAACACAGGTTAAGTCACAAATAAAATGAACAAGTATATTTGAAAATACACATTCAAATGTTAAATTTGTTTTTGTTTTTGTTTTTTTTGGTTTTTCTCCGGTACGAGGAACCGAACTCACGACCTTGCACTTGCCAGGCAGGCGCTTTGCCGCTGAGCTAAATCCCCAGCCCCTCAAATGTTAAATTTGAATGGCTTTAATATATAGATCATTGATACAGTTAGATTGATGAGAGCCAATAACAGATGTGGTACTGATCGCTGTTGATCTGCAAATTAAGAAATGCCAAACATAGCAAAAAAGAATTTCAGTCACAACAAAATAGCAGATTTTGACTAAGTAAATTAAAATTGGAGATATCTTAGTTTGAATCCCTAAACTCAGGGAAAGTACAAAGAGACGTGGATTCCACAAGAAAACAGCATGCATGAGGAATTCACTGTTGGCTGAAATGGTAGGGGACGTTGGAGAAGGACATCTCTTTTTCTCGTCTTATGGAGTAAAGGTATATTAACTGGCACTTTTCTGCTTGCAAAGCAATGCGCACTTTGTGAATACATTAGAAAATTATAGCAAATAAAATGGAATGTTTGGCTTTTAGATGTTAGATATAGCATAGTTAGGACATGTAGCATTTCTCCTTTCCACATTCCCAACTCCCTCACCACCAAACTCTTTGATAGATATTTTTCCAAGTATAGGGATTGATTCCAGGATCTTTACACTGAGCTACATCCCCATTCCTTTTTATTTTGAGTCTAGGTATCACTGAGTCTTTAAATTGCCCATGGTGCGCTCAAATTTGTGATGCTCCCAGAGTGCTGAGACTATAGGTGTTAGCCACCATACCTGATTTAGAAAGACTTTTTAAACAAAAGAGGATAATCAGTGTTTAAAACTAAAAATGGAATTCTTAGAGGATCACAAATCATGAAATATGAAATAAATACTTAAAAGAAGTACAGTTAGAATATAAGGTATCTCCAGGTATAAACTAAATTAGAGAGTCCTGGATTCCCAAAGTTGGGAGGCAAACAGAAGTTACTTCATGCTCTGCAGTGGAGGAAAAGAAGAACACATGGAGATCTGGAAGACAACAGGAGATATAGCCCAGAAAAGCAGCCCTCTTTCCCATCACTCCATGCTTCCAGCCAGGCAGACAGAACACTACTAGTGATTTCCATTCAAGAGCAGCACTTGGAAAAAGGGGAATGGCAGGGACACCAGGGTCAGCAATAATGTAAATGGGGTAGGGGAAACCAGGACACAAACATAGGAGAAAGAAACTAGATACAAGAAGTTTTGAACTAAAAAAATATTATTATTTATCTTTCTTTTTGAAGTACTGATGATAGCACCCAGGGCCTTCACACTGAGCTACAGCTTCAGATCATCTTTTTATGTTTTTTTTTTTTCAATTTTTATTCTGAGATAGGGTTTCACTAAGCCAATAAATTGCTCAAACTAGGCTCAAACCTATGGTCTTTTTTTCTCAGCCTTTTACAACATTTTCATAAAAGTATTTATTATTAAAAAGTAAACTCAGGTCTCTCATACAGTAGAATACTACCCATATGAGACTATTATTT